CGGGGAGGAGGGGATGAAGGGGAGATTTCTGCGCCGGCCTTCGGGCACGCTGCGAGGGCGCGGCAGAGGAGGCCCCGTGCGCTGAGTGAACGCGCTGGCCGAGGTGTCCTAGAGCTCCTCGCACAGAGGAGCCGGGGACCCCACTGAAGACCGGGGCCGGCATGTAAACACTGCGAGGGCTTGGCGTGAAACCGTTGGAAATAGGGCTTTGAGTTGGGCCTCGCTGTCCTGCAGATAGTGGTACATCATGTGCAAATGGGTTCACATCGTAGTTGGTGCTTCATGTGCGCAGCTGGGCCCTGCGGTGTCATGGGCACTGAATTAACTTTGCCAAAAATAACAGTCTAAGGAGGGCTGACAGTACAGCTGGAAACGCGGTATTTGCAACTGGTCACTAGAACACAGGGAGCCCCTTCCGCTGTATTTTAAGTTATAAGGATTGGATGCAGTTTGCATGACATATTCTTGAGCAAAAGGAAAACTGCTGTGGTGCTTGTAGTTGTGGCATAGGAGGTGAAAATATATGTATTTTTTTTCTCCAAATTGTTTAGATAGTCAGCCCAACTGCAGTCATCATGGAGGCTGTTTGCTGTGTTTTCCTGGCACCTCTGTGTGTGTGTGTTTCCTGTGCCACTGTTAGTTAAAATTAAATCTTCAGATATCAACAATCTCTGTGTATTTGTAGATGCTGAAGATTCTTGTGTTACTGCAAGGTAACTTCAAAGTATTACAGCTGAAAATTCTCGCTGCTGCCATGGATCATACCAATGGCAACGATGGCTTGTGTGGGGTCTTGTGGGCTCTGTTTCATTCACTTCTATACATCTAAGACTGTTTTTACAATATGAGAAAGATGCTATTTGTATGGCATCTCCAGGAACCAGCTGCAGCTGACTGTGCTAAAAAGTAACACTGGAAGCTTGTGGCAAAAAAAAGCTCTTTCCCTCTTTCCGTTTTGCCACCTCCTCACCTTGATGAGGCTAATTCAGCGTATTGGTCCATTTATTTTGTAAGGCCACAAGTTCAGTTTCAAGTTCTGTATTCTGTCACTTTCCTCCTGGTTGCTGTGATTCTGATGTTATTCTCTGATCCTCACGTGGCATGAGAAGCCTTATGCTATATTATTTTGGAAACTTCAACTACGTGATTTTTTTTTTTTAATCACAAAACTGGAAAAAAATGTCCCATGTTTAAGTAAACTAAGCTTTAGGTGCTTTGAGCTTCTAAATAAGGTCAGATCATCTCCATGGTAGAATCTATAAGCTGATCATAAAATAGTGCCTCAGGATATGAGAGCTACTTTAAAATTACTTCAAATTCTTCAAAAAATGTGGCCTGACTAGAAGAGGGGATCTGCTGCCACATGCTGTTACTTGCATAAAAAGAAAGTGGTTTGAAATCCTGGCATAGATAAATGACTGAATAAAAATTTTAATGTGGAAAGGAAATTGTGATCCAATAGAAAGCACAGGGGAAATTAAATGATTAGAGCTTAATTTTCAGAATCTTTTTTTTTTAGAGTACATTAATGACTGCTGTGTCCTGCAAACTATATCGTTAATGTCCGTAACATCTCTGTCTAGAAAAGGAAAAAATAATGGCAGTAGTAATATAATAGTAAATTACTTATTTCTTAGACATTTTCTTGGTAATGCAGGCAAAAGTATGTAAAACTGGAATTGAGCCCTCTTTTTTTCTTATTTGATAAGTATTTTCAAAACTTCTTTTGAAGGTCATTTAACAGTATATTCAGGTATATTTCTCACAACAAGTTGTGCAACAGGGAATTCTTAATCATGCATAAGGTACATTTTCATTATAAACTAGAAGTATTTCAGCTTATCAAGATGAAGCCACTGATTTTTTTTTTTCCTTACAAAAGTATGGAGTCTACAGTGGCCAGATGCCTGCCTTGTCAATGGCAACAGTACCAGGAGCAGCACCAAATATGCCTTATGATGCATACTCTGAATATTCTACGCATTCTGCTGTTTATTCTGCTGCTGCTGACCCCGTGTGGACTTACTTCAGTGCAATGGCTGGACAGGTAAGATAATATAAACAATATAATCAAATAATCAAAGCAACCCTAGTAAAGTTTTGGTTTGTGCTTTTTCTGAAAAAGAAATACCTTAGCAGATTATTCTCAATAAGAATCATTCACCTTCAAGTAAAGGGTTCAGTAATTGTAATTATAGTTGGCTCTAGAGTTTATGGCAATACAGACTTAATAGACAAACTAAACGTTACAACACAAATGGCAGAATCTTTTTTGATGACTATGTGGCATGCTATGTGAAGCTGCAGGCATTGACAGGTATCTTACTTTCTAAAACAGTTCAGAATTGCATAGTATACTCTATCTGTTACTGAATTTGTTAATTGTGTTGAACTCTAATTTGGAGGCTTTGGTATATACTTGAGATTAATTTGTTAAGTAATCGGTTGACAATGTCCAAGTTTGGGTAATATTTTGTGCAGTATTCACCATAGCAGAACTCCTTTCTTTGGGCATAGAAAACGAGATGGTTAATTGGTTGTAAAACCACAGAAAAGCGACTTGAGAGCACCATAAGCAGTAATTGTAGCTGAACTTGAAAACATTTCATTCATCTTTGTATTTTGTAGATAGTTCGTGGTGTGAAGTATAGCTCCAGTTTACCCGTATCTTGTCCTTTTCCTAGATCTCTTCCACAG